GTGGGAGAGCATGATTCCTTTTTAAGCCAAGTGATATTCCATCATATGGACTTTCTTTAATCCATTCGCCTGCTGACAGGCATTTGGACTGCTCCCTCCGTTCGGCCCTTGTGAATAGTGCTGCTATGATTTTATCACTTGCCTTTTTCTTGTGACCAGCCACATAGTGTCGCACCGTGTGGAAGGCACTTGTTTAACCGTCTCCTTGCTGGTGGGTGTTTAGCTCATTTCCAGTTTTCACTCCTACAAACTTGGCTCCTGGGACTGACCTTGGACTTGCTTCTCCATGCACTTGCCCGAATGTCTCTTCAGTCTAGATCCCAGGATCCTGAATTGCTGAGTGACTAAACAATTGCTCAGAACTCCTCCAACTTTTACCTGTCTGTGAGTCTGTTAAAAACGCTTAACCTTTTAGTTTTCCGAAGCACTGGTGTGACCACTATTGGACTTTATCGTAGCAGCAGCCTTTGGAGCAAGGAGGATTGGTATTTCTATTTTGTGGATAAAATGCCAGCTGACACTTAGAGACTCTTACTCGTGCCGGGCCTCTTGTGAGCACTTCAGGTAGATTAACACATGCAACCTCACAAGAGCCCCGAGGTGGAGCCTCCCCATGATCCCCACTTGCAAGTGAGAAAACAGGCATGAGGTGCACTGCAGGGACAGCCGAAGAGCCGGGAAGGAGCCCCAGAAATCTAGCTCCAGGCTCCAAGCCCTTAATCGATTTGTTCCCTGGCCTCTTGGTCCTGCAGCCACTGATACCCATAAAAGGTGGCGGATGTAGCTGGGTCCCAGCTCCAGGCTTCCTTTCTCTGGACTCATGCTCCCCCTTCACCCACTTAGCTGTCCTGCTCACCTGATGTCTCCAGGAGTGGAATCTGCCCCCAACAAGGGTTAAATTAAATGAACTAGGCCCTTAATGCCCAGCCCAGAGCCCTGGTGAGAGAGGTGCTCAGAGAGGCAATAATGACCGCTTTTGTGGCTTTTTCACAGACTCTGCCTACACCTGACTTCAGCCCCCTTCCCCACTCAGATGCACATACACACACACTCGCTCACACTGTCTGAGAAGCTCTTTTTCAGGAGACATGAGGAGTATCCACTTGTCCCACTAGCCAAGGCCCTGGCCCCACCTTGCAGCAGTGGCCTAGAAGTTTTGGGAGGGGATACCTGGTACCCAAGACCCTCAGATGGCCCTGTGATTGCCCATTGGAAGTCTGGAGGCCCTCCAGCTCAGAACTTTGGTTGGAGAGCATCTTTTGAGAAGTCAGGAGGTGGCCAGGAAGGCACCAGGGCTGCACCTGAGGGAGGAGGAAAGCTGGAGTGTCTAGAGAAATAACTGACTTTATAAACTCCCAAGTGGAGAGCAGAGTTGTTCTTTTTCACTGCTGTGTAATATTCCATTGCCTGTTAATATCCAAGTTTATCCATTCATTCTACTATTGATGGGCTTTTTGTCTATTTCCAGTTTGGGGGCTATTACAAATAAAACTTCTGTGAACATGTTTGCACCTCTTGTACTGTACAGATTGTCACTTACTGTTTCACTCTCTAGTATGTCTCAGTCTTTTAAATAGCCACATAGTATCTGATTGTACTACAGATTATTGAACCCTCCACCTACTGATGAACATGTGCACACATGCCTGTTGGGGATATACCAGGATGCAGCTGCTGGTTCACAGAGGATGTACGTCAGCTGTAGTAGGTAATGCCAAGTGGGTTTCCAAAGTAGCACCCCCAGCAGCTCTGCTGAGCACTCTTGTTGCTCCACCTTCTCTCCAGCACTTGGTATTGACGGTCCTGTTCATGTTCGTCACCTGGTAAGGATGCTCGCCCCTTCCATCCATGCCTGCCTTCCCACTCCAGCGAGGGCTGGCATCTCTCAGGGGCTTTGCAGCTTCTCAGTCTCTCTCAGCCTCATAGTTTGGTGTACGGCCCAAGGGGGCCCAAGCTGAGTGGTCTCAGGGGCTGAACTGATGCCCCCAGGCCCACCAGTAGGAAAGGATCCTATTTCATGACCTTGTCTGATTTCCTACTGTACAATGTTGTCAGAGAGGTGGAGTCAAGGGGTACCCATTTTGCAGGGGAGGAAGTGGAAGCTCAGAGAGGTTATGTCACTTCACAAGTCAAAAGCCATAGGCTGTGATAGAGCCTGCACGTTCAAGCTCATCTTTCTCTCTTGCCCTCCCAGTCCCTCGAGCCATCAGCATTTCTCATTACAGTTCCTTCCCTCCAGCTCGTCTCACTTGCAGACACAGACACCCCTGCCCTCCTGTGCATCTTTCCTCTCTGGCTGTCCCTTCCTGGCCTCCTTGGCCTCCCCCTCCAGCTCTGGGCAGGCTCTGCATGTTGAGAATCTGAGGTTCTTGTTGCCCCTTTAGAGAAAAATCCAGCCTCCTTACTTGGCCTCTGAGGCCCCCACGTGGTCCAGCCTCACTCCCAGCTCAAGCCCGTATCACCCCTTGGCCACTGGGCTTCAGCCGCTAGCGCTGCCCTCCAGCTTCTCAGATACAAGGTCTTCCCCCTCCAGGGCCCCTGCCTGGGGACGCTGGTCCTGGTCACCAGGCTGCCCTTCCCTGCTTCTGGTCTCAGCATAAATGACCCTTGTTCAAGGGGCCTTTCTTCACCCATAGTCTACCTGGGTCTCACTCATTATTTCTCAGCCCCCATTGCATCTGTCATGGCATGTGTCATGGTCTGTAATGACACACCTGTCTGTCTGCCATCTATAAGTCTGTGAGAGCAGAATTATGTCATGACTCTAGTGACTAGTTCTGTGTAAGGTATACAGCAGGCACTTGATAAATACTTGACAGATGAATGTTGTGCATGTGTGCGCACGTGCATGTCTGCACACAAAAATACGTGAGAGTACTCCCAGCAGGTGGCCCTGTCTGGAAGAAGGTGTGGGCTGGGCTCTGCCCCAGTGTGATACCTTCTGGTGACCTTAAGGGAACTTCTGAGTCTTGTCCCCCTGGGGGGAGGTGGCATGGCATCAAGGAGAGGACATGAGACTTTGGGTCAGAAAACCTGGGTTTGAGCCCCAACGCTGCCAGTGCCCGGCTGTGTGACTTCGAACAAGTCTCTGGGCCTCAGTTTTCTCTATCTGTAAAATGGGACTCATGTTAAAACCAACAACAAGAACAATAATACCCATTTCCAGCAGTTGGGAATGAGAATGAAATAGGGTCGAGGATGTAAAGTGGTTTATCTTTACTGGGTTCAGCAGGGCCATGGAAGGGACTCAGTCCCTATTCCATCAGCCCACCTGGAGCGGCTCCCAATGTGAAGCCCTAGACTTTTGAGATGGTTGAGGCAGGACGGCTGCCTTCTGGGACCGTCCTGCCTTTGTGCCTAGAACATTGTCTCCAGCTCATCAAGGGCAGTATCCAGGTCTTACCTGGATTTGTGGCCCCCGTGGTATCACACACCGTTCTAGACACGGACCATGAATGCTTGTTTGTGGTGGTGACTGCCTGCTTGGTACCATCCTGGATGGGAGGAGGGAGGCCGGCAGGAAAGCTTCAGTGTGGGATGCAGCAACCTGGAGAAGGGAGTCACAGAGAGAAAGTAGTCCTGAGTCCTGGGGGAGGGAAATGGGGGAGAGAAAAATGGTTTCTCCCCTTTTAATCTGTGGTTGAGTCTGACTGCCAGTACCCCAGCCCAGGTGTCCTGGTGAGCAGGGGTTAGCTGTCAGCCCAGTGCCTGTACGAGGCTGAATAACAGACCCCCAAATGTCCAGCCCTAATCCTTGGAACCTGTGGATGTTACCTTCTAGGGTAAAATCCTTACAAATGTGATTTAGTCAGAATCTTGAGATGGGAGGTTATCCTGGATTATTTGGGTGCACTCCAAATGCCATCACAAGTGTCCTTACAAAAAGGAGGCAGAGAGAGATCTGACATGGACAGAAGGGGAGAAGGCCATGTGACCACAGAGGCAGCAACTGTAGTGATGTGGCCACAAGCCAAGGAACGCTGGCAGCCACCAGAAGCTGGAAGAGGCAAGGAACACATTCTCCCCTAGAGTCTCCAGAGGGAGCCAGCCACGGTGACATCTTGGTATTGGGCTGATTTTAAACTTCTGCCTCCTGGAACTATGAGAAAATACATTTCTAATGTCCTGAACTATCCAATTTTGTTGGTTATTTGTTACAGCAGCTGCCTGAAACTCATACAGCATCCATCCTCACATTCCTTAATTCATCACATCCCTGAGCAAATACCTGCTGTGTGCCAAGCATTGTACCAGTGCAGGGAATACACAGGGGATGGATCAGGCAAGGTCTTGCTCCTGCTGACAGTATCCTTGGGGGGCGCAGGGCAGGGGGAACAGACATTGAACAAGCAAGTAACAGACAGCACCCCTTGAGCATCTGCTGTGTACCAGGCATCTTCTTCAGTGTTTCGTGTGTATTAACTAGATCAGTCCTCACAACAGCCCTACGGGGTAGGTCCTGCTATTATTCCCATTTTAGAGATGTGGAAACTGAGGCACAGAGTGGAGGGAACCCAAAGCCACCCAGCTAATACACGGGAGAGCCAGTGTCTGAGCTCCAGAGCCCACTCTTCAAATCACGTTGCAGTGTCATCTTTCATTGTTAGATGAAAGGATGTACCAGATACTGAGCAGTTGTACAAAGCACTGTGAAGGGATGAGTGGATGGGAGATGGGGCTGCGTTACAGGGCTCAGGGAAGGAGAGGCCTCTGTGAGGAGGTGACCTTGAGCTGAGGCCTGAGAAACGAGGGGAGCCAGCCAGGGGGAGGTTGGAAGGCAGGCACTTGCAGGCACTGGGAGTGGCAGCGGCAAATGCCTGCAGTGGGGATGAGCTGGGAGGATAGAGGGGCAGGAAGCAGGTGCTGGGGAGTGGAGGAGATGAGGCCAGGAGGAGGCCGGGGGAGGGGACCAGGTTGATCTCAATGGGGAGCTGCTGGATGGTTTAAGCAGGGGAGGGAGGTGGACTCACCTCCTGGTCCCGCCCCTCCACCTCCCCCAGGCATGTCGGAGCGGGAGCGGCAGGTGATGAAGAAGCTGAAGGAGGTGGTGGACAAACAGCGAGACGAGATCCGTGCCAAGGACCGGGAGCTCGGGCTGAAGAATGAGGATGTTGAGGCTGTAAGTGATGCATCCCGCCCCACCAAGAGGCTTCCCCCTCCCCCTCGGTCTCACTCTCTGAGCTCCATGGGGTGGGGAGCCTGCCCACGGCTCTGTGGACCCAGCTTTGAAACAGTAGCCATGGGGAGGACCTTCGGCAGAGTCTTCACTGGAGCTGTAGGCAGGAACGTGGCATGGCCAGCGACCTGACTCCACACACTGAAGAGGTCCCGTGGCCTGGGCAGCCTTTGCTATGACCCTGAGGCTTCCTCTAGCCCACCCCCTTCATGCCCCAGCATGGTCCAGGCTGCTCTAGGAACCTATCCGGTGTCTCTACCTAAATTAGAAAAAGACGCCCCTTTCTCAAGGCATGTTACTTCCATCTGTTGGGAAATTGTCATAAGATACTAATAAGACACTTATCTTCCATCTGTCATAAAGTTATAGTAAATCTACAAATTGCCCATCTCTGGCATCAACAGAGTTAGGAGAATATGAACACATTCCAAACAAATCAAGACATCTACACAGTATAAATGGCACGCCTGTAGATGGTTTGCCCTTGTACAGTGCACAACATGAACTACTGTATGCGGCAGCCCCATACCATGGCCTTTGTCTCTCTACAGCTGCAGCAGCAGCAGACCCGGCTGATGAAGATCAACCACGACCTCCGGCACCGGGTCACGGTGGTGGAGGCCCAGGGGAAGGCCCTGATCGAACAGAAGGTAGAACTGGAGGCAGATCTGCAAACCAAGGAGCAGGAGATGGGCAGCCTGCGGGCGGAGCTCGGGAAGCTGCGAGAGAGGCTGCAGGGCGGGCTCAGCCAGAATGGAGAGGAGGAGCCTGAGGTGAGCGGGAAGCCAGCTGGCGAGGCGATGTGGAAAGGACAGTCTGTGGGCTGGCTCGGGGTGGGCAGGGCGGCCTGGCTTTCCCCATTACACCTGAGGGGAATGGGGGCCCCTGGGGAGAGCCAGCTGCCGACCAGAAGACACACAGGTGGGCAGGGGCAGCGCTGGGCCCGGAACCCAGGACTCCCAGCATTCCAGCCCAGGGTATCCAGCTCGGTGGTGGTTACTGGGCACCCGCCATTCATTCATTCATTCATTCATTCAAATGATTATTAACTATGTTGCAGGCATGGGGGAAAAAATGCAGACCTGGCACCTGTCTACATGGAGCTTACAGTCAGTATAGGAGACAGACATTAGTCAAATAATCACGTAACTCCTGTGACCCAGCAATCCCACTTCTAGGCATGTGTCCAAGAAAACTGAAACTATATGTCCACATAAAAACCTGTATGCAGATGCTCACAGCAGCCCTCTTCCCAACAGCCAAAAGGTGGAAACATCCTCCGTGTCCATCAGCTGATGAGTAGATAAAAAACTTCTCAGAGTGGACTCTGAGAACACATTCTAGCTGTGTCTGTCCAGCTCAGCAGCCACTAGTGACAGTGGAGCACCTGGAATACGTCATGTCCAAATGGACACGTGCTGTAAATATAAAATACACACTCACCATCAATGAATGGATGGATGGATAAACAAAATATGGTAGGCCCAGGATGTGACCCACGGCACCAGAGGTGTGAGCCACATAGATGTCCCCCGGAGTGTGCCAGGAACACAGAGATAGGGCAGTCAGTCCGGATAGGGGGGGCATGGAGCTTCATGGACCATCTGTGACTTCAGCTGGATGTCCGTGATAATAATGCTAAGCTTTTGATGGTAGCTGTAGGAGATGGCTATGCCGTTTCAGAAGAGCATAAGGAACTGTTAAGAGAAAAGCTCAGGGCTGGCTCTTTCTTCCAGCAAATACTTATTGACTGTTTCGGGTTTGCAGGCACCGTGCTGGTCTCCTGGGTTACAGGTGGGGGAGGTAAGACGGCTGAGCTTACCATCAGGTTGGCTCAAGTCCCAGCACAGTCATTCAGTATCTTGGGAATTTTGACCATACACTTCTAGGATCTTTAAAGGACAAGAACCTCTGGGATACAGATAGGGAGGTAAAAAGAGAGAAGTCTTAAAAGGGAGAGGTTAGAGTCTGCTTTGGGCTAAAGGTGACAGAAGCCTAAGTTAAAATTGTTTAAGGATTTTTTTTTTAAAAAAGGAATTTTTGGCTGTGTAACAAAAAGCTTTGAGTTAATGATGGCTTCAGGTATAGCTGGTTCCAGGTGCCCACGTGACAGTGTCAGGAATTTGTTTCAGACCTCCTCTCAGCTTTGCTTTCCTCTCTGTTGATGTCATTTATAAGCAGCCACTTGCCATATAGTGGCCCTAGCACTTAAGCAGCTTTGCAACCCCAGTGGAAAGAAATTGCCTCTTTCCCAAATTCTCAGCAAAAGTCTCAGGGAACCCTCTCTTTAGCCCATCACTGACAGTCATCGTGGTCTGAGGTCTAGAATATGCATGTTGTCCATTCCTGAGCACATGGCTACCTCAGAGGTGCCCATCAGAGCTGCATACACAGAAAGTGGGGAAGGGGAGTTTCTCCAGAGGCAAATTGCAGTGACTCGGCCCGGAGACGTGTGGGAATGGAGGCAGGCCAGGCAGAGACAACAGCTGTTGTCATCAGTGCCGGAGAGTCAAGGTTGAGAATGCCACACACAACACGCTGAGCAGTGAAGGATGTGGATTCTTTCACAGGCTTTTGTCAAGGAGGTGATGGGATCAGCTCTGAGTTTATGGAGGACAATTTGAACAGTTTGAACAAGGAGCTGATGGCAGTCTTGGCTGTTTGCAATAATCCAGACAAGAAGGGTGAGGGCTGGACCAAATCTATAGCATTGGGATGCAGGAGAGGAGCCAGTAGGCGAAGTGTGGGGCGGTCACCCCGCACCTCCCTAGGTGTACCGCTTCCAACCTCCTAAGCCCCATGAGAGCTCAGGCCTGTCTCTGCCTGGACAGGGGGGACCTGGTCCAAACCTGGGTCCTGAGCTCATCACCCCAGCTGCAAAACTCCAAGCCCTGCTCCATGTCTCTTTAAGACAGGAACATTGAACACCTCCTTGGCCTGGCTGCCTGTCGGTTTCAGTTTCCTTTCTGGCATCACCGGGGTGGGACAGAAACGGGAGTAAAATCAGGTGACAGTTATGACTAACCCACTGAGCAGCGTCTGTTCCCAAACTCAGGGCGTCTCTGCTGCGTTTGACTCCATCCCTTGGAGCTGAGTAGAGCTCACAATGCTTGTCACTCAAACGGAAGCCACAGGTTGTGGTGGCTTCATCACCTGCTGCCATGTGACTTGGGGCCTGTCCATCCCTTCGGTGGTCAGTTTCCGAACTGACAAATGAAGGGGATGAACTTGACTTGATCCAGTAGATCTAATAGTGCGGCTGGGATAAAGGGCGGTGGGATCAAAGGATGGCACAGTGAATTCTGAGTCGAGAGAAGAGGGCAGTGCAGGCCTCCAGAGCATTGAGATGAGTCTTGTGGGATGGGTAGGCTGTCCAGGGTTAGAATGTGGGGCAGGTCATTCCAGGCAGGAGGAACAGCCTGAGCCAGACTCAAGAAGTGCAGGATATGGCTGGGGAGTGGGGGGGTGGTTAGTCCTGCTACAGGATTGGTGCGGGAAGATGGGAGCCATGGAAGGATCCAGAGCTGGGGAGGAATCCATTCTCATCGTTGCCTCTTGATTTACATGGTTCTTTCTGAAGTGCATCACTGTCCTTTCAGGGTGATCTGCAGTACACGAGGCCCCTTGTATATTCTTATAACCTATTTATTGAGATATAAGTCACGTACTGTACAATCCAACCATTTAAAGTGTACAAGACAAGGGATTTTAGTGTATTCACTATATTGTGTACTCATTGCCACTGTCTAGAACGTTTCCATCACCCCCAAAAGGAACCCCATACTCACTGGCAGTCACTTCCTATCTCTGCCTCCCCCAGCCCCTGGCAACCACTGGTCTACCTGCTCTCCCTGTGGGTGTGCCTGCTCTGGATATTTCACTGACATGGACTCATACACCATGCGGTCCTGACCGCCTTCTCACGCAGCGTATCTTCTAGTTCATCCAGCTCCTCGTGTTCTAACTGCCAGTTCTCCTACCTTCGGTAGTTAGACACGTAAACCCTTAAGAAAATGAGGTGGCTTCCCTTCTAAAGGACTTCATATAAAATCAATAAGAAAACTGTAAAGTTAATAGTTACCTCCTTGACGTCACTGCCTCTGTTTTGCAAGTTCTGATTTCTTGGTAAGTTGAGTTTTTTTTTAAGTACCCAGAGAAAGCAGACAGGGGCCCAATGGCTGGCCTGTGAAATGGGGGCCGAATTCATCCCTGTGGAAGCCTGGAGATTCCGAGGGTGACCAGAGCACAGTCCTGGCCCATTGCTGGGCCAGGGGCTTCGGGAGCACAGAAAGAGGCCTCGAGGTGCCCGGGCAGTGGGGGGCCTGCCCCGGAGGCCAGGTCTCAGGCTGGAGGGCCCCGGTGCAGGCGTTGCCTCCCTAAGGCCTCCGGACAGGCCCCGGTGCTTGTCGGCCAGTCTCTTGAGCCTCCCTGGGGAGCACCTGGGACCTCAGGCGTCTCCCTCAAGCTGTGCCCAGACAGCCTCGCGGGACCAGCGGACAGCCCACGATAACCCAGGCCACCTCCGTGGTCCCCCGTGGAGTAAGCGTAGAAGGCCGGCTGCCGACCAGCCCGATTGCCGGCTTGTCTCCCTCAAGGCCAGGGCTGCCCGAGGCTCGCGTCAGTGCTTGGTGGCGCCCTGGAGAAGCTAGAGTCCCAGGCTCACTCTCTCCTGCAACAACGTCCCAGAAGTCAGGGCTTCCTTGCGCTCCCATCCCGGAAACCCCCAAGCCCTAAGGGAATCAGGTTGCTCCACGGATAGAAGAGCCATCCTTTCTCCAGCGAAAGAAGTTAGGTTCTGAGGCAGCCCTTCGGTGTCTTGGGTGATGACGGCCCGTGGCAGGGGGAGCAGGGAACTGCTGCGGCTTGAAAGCGTGTGTTCGTAGGAGTCCCCAGGTGTCTGGGTGAGAAAGGCCCTTAGAAATATTACTGGGTTTTCGAGCACTGGTTGGGGTAATGAGGGCCTGGAGAGGAGCAGGCAGCTTGCCCAAAGGCCTTTTGGAAAGTGAGGGGCTGGGAACCCTCTTGAGGGGCTTTATGCTTCCCCAGGGCGCATGGACCCCTGTCAGCTTGCCCTTCCCAGAGACACAGAGAGGCCTGGGACTTGCCAAGTTGTCTGGGGGAGGGAGGGGCTGGAGGAAGCGTGCAGGCCTGTGATTTGGGTCTACGGCTGCCAACACCTCCAGGATCCAGGCAGGGAAGGAAAAAGGGGAGGGGGGTGGGCAACCATGGAAATAGCATGTAAGAGGGAGCAGCTGCTATGCAGCACCAGCCCAGTGTTGCCATGTGGGCCCAGTGTGGCCTAGTCTTCCAATGTTTTTTCCCAAAAGGAAGCCCCAAACCCAAACTTTAGGGTGAAATCCCCTGACCTAAAGCTGCTGGCAACCAATTCAAAAGAGTTTTAGAACACAGTGAGGGCCAGATAAAATGAGGGGATGAGGTCACTGGAGTGGACCCAGAGTTCTTGGCAAACTCCTACACATTCGTCAAGACCCCAAGCACAGAAACCACATCTGCAGTGACATCTTCCATGTTCTTCCTCAGAGTTTGATGCCCTTGCACCACTTATTATATTACCTTGTAAATTTTTGTGTATATCTTCCTTCCACCTCCACCTGTCTGATTCATCTCATTTGCTCAGTGACCAGCAGATGCAAAGTTGATACTCAATAATGTTAAATAAATATGAGACATCCAAGCATGTTCTGTGGTTAACCTAGGCAGTAGAAGAGAAGGGAACTGGCATTAGTGAGTGCCTGCTGTATACTAGGCATTTGCTATACATGATCTTGGACAGGGGTTACGGTCCCAATGTGTGGCTATCAGGTGGTCCAAGGAGCAGCCCTGGAGGCTCTGCAGAGGGAGTTGGACACTGAAGATGTTCCCTGAAGACACAGCCCCCCTGAAGGTGTGGCACCAGCAGATGCCTGGAGTACCTTCTTGGGAAGCTGAGTCCTCCAACATTTCCTCCCCTAGTCCTTGGATGGGAAGAGGTCCCTCTCTGCTGCCCAGCCGGCTTGGGGGGTAGCATGTGTCAGGTTTCCTGCTGCAGCGGGCCGCCTCCCCTGCTGCCTGCTGCTCGGTGCTGACTCCTGGTCAGAACCACTTCCCAGCCCGCGCCTGCCAGGTGGCTCTTCTGTCACCTGATCTGCCCTGGTGGGTGGTGTCTCCTTACAAGTGTCCTTTCCCAGAACAGCCCGTCCCCAGCTCTCCCAGGATGGGAGGCATCTCAACTCTGCCTTCTGGAGTCCTTCAACATCCTGGCCTGTCTCAGCTGGAGTCCATTTCTCCTTGTGATTCTGTGGGTTTTTTTTGGTTTTTGGGGGGGCAGGGGAAGGGGGTTAGTTTTGTATTTCAATCCCTCTTTCCCCTGTTCCAGAGCTCGCCCACTGTTGTCCTAAGCTTCTGTCTACTCCTTCTAAACAATCATGGGATGCTGGCGGCTCGGGGGTGTCAGGAATAGTGCACCCTGGAGAGTCTGGGCCACCTGCAGATTTGCCCAGCTGACTTGGAAAGCTTGCAAAAACTTCCTTGCTAATCAAAAAAAAAAGAAAGAAAGAAAGAAAGAAAAGAAAAAGAAATGTTGGCAAGGAGGTGGAGAATGTCGAATCCCTCCTACACTGCTAGCAGGAATGTAAGATGGGGCAGCTGCTGTGGAAAACAGTTTGGCAGTTCCTCCAAAAGTTAAACATAGTCACCATATGACCCAGCAATTCCCCTCCTAGGTAGCTACCCAAAGAACAGAAAACAGGTGTTCAAACAAATCTTTGCACACTGATGTTCATGTCAGCATTATTCACAATAGCCAAAAGGTCGAAATAACCCAAATGCCCATCAGGGGATAAAAAGGATAGGCAAAATGTGGTGTCTTTACACAGTGGAATATTATTCAGCCATGAAAAGGGAAAAGCACTGACACAGGGTACCATGTGGATGAACCTTAAAAATGTGATGCTGAGTGAAAGAAGGCAGTCACAGTCACATATTGTATGATACCATTTCTAGGAAATGTCCAGAAAAGGCAGATCCACAGAGATGGAAAGCAGGTGGTCGTTGCCAGGGGCTGGAACTGGGGGATGGAGTAGGGAGGAACTGCTAAGGGTGTGGTGTTTCCTCTGGAAAATGTTTTGGAACTAGATAGAAGTGGTAATTGCACAAGATTGTGAGTATGCTGAACACTGCTGAAGTGCGTATTTTAAAATGGTAAATTTTATGTTAGGTGAATTTTATCACAATTTCTTTTAAAAAGCTCTTGCTGAGGAAGAGGGCAGAAGGATGGGGTTGGGGTCTGGAGGAGGTGGCTCAGCAGGTTAGGCTCCATCTGTGTGACCTGCATGGAGGAGAAGTGCCCTGCGTGTGCACATCGGCTGTGATGTCACCCCCTCACCTCCCATCAGGGCTCCCACTGAACTTCAGCGAAAAGATGCCCACAGCCACTGGGGAGGAGAGGGATTAACCAGAGGGCCAGGCACAAATGGGGAAGTGTCTACGACTTCATGTCAAATGAAAAAGGAATAGAGAATTGTGCGTAGGCTCTGATTCCAACAACTTTGGCCAGATTAGCAATGGCCTTGGTAAGAAAATGAGGCAAGAACACGGGAAAGGGAAAGCAAGCAGATTTAAGAGGGTGGCGGCACTGGGGGTGCACTGGTTCTTCTCCTCGGGTGCCTTTTAATGTCATTTGTAATAAAACCCTGAGTCAGATGGGGAGGCACCAGGACCACGGGTCTGGCTATTGAGAAGGCAAACAATGGTGGCCACTGGCTTTCGTCTCCAGAGGGACGCTGACTGCACAGAACGTGAGCAGAGGCCGCCTGCAAGTTCTTAAAATAGCGCCCTCGGCTAGCTGCCCGGGCCCCGGGAGGATGGGAAATTCGGGCTCCGGCAGGATGCGGAGTGGGTGCTGGCGGTGGCAGGCCAGGAATTCATTTGCAGCATCTCTGCCTCCTCCAGACGGAGCCGGGCGGAGACGAGTGTGTCTCAGAGGTGGAGAAGGTGGCCATGGACCTCAAGGACCCCAACCGCCCCCGGTTCACACTGCAGGAACTGCGGGACGTGCTGCACGAGAGGAACGAGCTCAAGTCCAAGGTGTTCTTGTTGCAGGAGGAGCTGGCGTACTATAAGAGGTGAGTATCCCTGGGAGCTCCCAGGCTGGCTCCTTGCTGAGATTGTGCGGAGTCTGGGGACAGTTAGCACCTGGAAAATAAGGATGGCATCTGTATCCATCGTGGGGACCATCCCTGGCCTGAAGCACTTACATACCCGCTCATAATTCCTTCCTGAAACTCAAGGGTTCAGGTGCATTTTTTAATTCAGCATTTCCAGCCGTGGCGGGAGGGTATAGCTCAATGGTAGAGCGCTTGCCTAGCATGCACAAGGTCCTGGGCTCAATCCCCATACTTCCATCAAATAAATAGACAGATAGATAGATAGATAAACCAACCTAAGTACCCCCCCCAAATTTTTTTAATTAAAAAAAACCTTTCCAGCTGTTAGGAAAGAATAATCCACCTACTGTGTATTCTCTTACACCACAAGCGAGGTCTGGGGCAGCTCCCCAGAATCAAACTTGTGAATATTTTTGCAGCAAAAGATACGAACATTCATACTAAATGGGATAAATAAAGATTATAAACAGCCTCATGAGATTTTATTTCAGGTTTTACCACCAAATGAATGACAAAAAAAAAACCTCACAAATGAATTTTGGGTGTTAGAGCTTTTTGGATTTTGGAATTACAGATAAGAGATGGTGGAGCTATGCAGCCGAATTATTTGTTCATCTGGTCCATTTGTGGCCTGTGAACTTCTTGTACATGGTAGAGCTGCACCATCTGATGTGGTAGCCATTAGCCACATGTGGCTATTTAAATTTGAATGAGTTAAACTTAGGTAAAATGTAAAATTCAGTTCCTCAGTTGCACTTGCCACATTTCAAGTGTTCAGTCGTCACTTGTGGCTAATGGCCACCATATTGGATGGCAAAGATATAGACTGTTCCCATCCTCGTGGGAAGTTCTGCGGATAGCACTGCTCCTGACTTAGCCCACCATCTCGTGCCATGCAACCTCATACTCATTCAGCTTTGCACACACTGCCCTTCTATTGGGTCCCCAAAACACACCATGCTTGTTTCTACCTCAGGCCCTTTGCACATGCTGCTCTTGACTCCTGGTCATTCAGGGTCAGGTCAGGTGTCACCTCCTCAGAGAGGCCTGCCTTCCTCATCACCCCCCCTCCAGATGAGCGCCCTGTCCTGGTCCCTGTTTATCGCTTTACCCAGTTTTACTTTCTGCATATCTCTTTTCACCATCTCACATTATCCTGTTTATGAACATGCTTGTTTTATGGTCTGTTTCCATACCAGACTGCAACAGCATGAGACCAGAAACCTTATTTGTCTTTTCGTGACTAAGTTCCCAGAACTCAGCATGCAGCTTAGCACAGCGTAGGTGCACCAGCACAGCGTAGGCGCACAACATCTATCTGTTGAACAGAAAGCTGGAAGGAAGGATGCACCAGATGTGGTACCTGCCCCAGGAGGGAAGATAAGACATCAGAGAAAATACAATGCCACACATTTTTACTGAAAACCCACTGTGAGTCCACCACCTAAGACAGTTTTATGACAGTGTGTGCACTGGCTGTTCAAAGAAGAGAGAAGTCACTTCTGGCTTGGGGATGGGGTGGAAATCAGGAAGGCTTCATGGAGGTGGTAGCATCAGAACTGAGCCTTCCCTAAAGGATAGGGTACTTTTCAGGTATGGGATATGTTGTGGGTGGCATATTCCAGGCAGAATAAATCACAAAGGTGTGGAGACAAGGAAGCATTTGGCAAGAACAGGAAACAGGGAATCATTCTTTGTGGCTAGAATCTCCAAAGTAAACTTAGAATAGCGATGTGGTGACTCCTAAAATTTTTCACATTTAACCAACTGGGCCAAAGGGCCTGCAGGCACCTGTGTCCACGGCCTCCAGGACTAACCCTCGTCACTGGCCACTCCTCTCGCTCCGAGGCCAGGCCTTGAGGCAGAGAGCCTGTGGGGCAGAGGCAACTGTTGCTGTCCTCCTGGGTCCCCTTACTTCCACTCCCCTGAAAAAGGACACGCCCTCCCAGACCATCGGACGATACCCTTGGAATAGTCTAGCTCTCGTGGAATGTTTGACTCTTTTACCTCACGCCTCTCAATTCCTTCCAGTGAAGAAATAGAAGAGGAAAATCGAATACCCCAACCTCCGCCCGTCACCCACCCAAGAACATCCCCCCAGCCGGAGTCTGGGATCAAGCGACTGTAAGTGCTCCGCTCGCTGGCGGGTGGCCGACCTGGTGGGTCCCACGGCCGCTCACTTCTCCCGGGCACCAGGCTTGTCACTAACCAACCCCCTCCCGCTGAGATGGGCCTAACCCCGGGGCACGTCGGGTCTGGCCCTTGACAGTTCACCTCTGTACCTTAAAGGCTGAGCTCTTCCCGGGGGGTTCCAGGGCAGAGAGGTTTGGGGAAGGCTGAGCGGGCGGGAAAGGGGTGGGGCCTGTGGCTGACGCTCAGGGCTTGCTTGAGAGTGTCAAGTGGGGCATGTCTTTGAGGACAGCAAATACGGCGTGGTAGGGGAGGTTCATGCATTTTAAGGGCTTGAAACCCCAGGAGTCCGGAATGGCCACAGGTCCCCCCATGCTTTTCTGTGAGGACTTCACCTGTCCCTCTGTCTCTGCATTAAGGACTGATTGGTGCATAACGCATGCAGAGTCAGGCCCTGGTTGCTGTGGGGGACATGCAAGAAAAGAGCGACCTAGTCCTTGCCCTCAGCTAGACTTAAAGCTACTTCAGCAGTCCCTGCATCACAAGAGATACGGATGAGAGTGTGCAGACCCTTTCCCTGGGGTAGGGGGGTGGGACATAGAGATTTGTAAACAATTTCGGGTTCACTGACCCCTACAGCCCTTCAGATAAAAGGTTAAAGCTCTGGTCTAGTTAGTTAATATCTACTAAGAACCTACTATGTGCCAGTTACTGTTCCTGCAGATAACAGCCCTGTGCGGTGGGGGCACTGCCATTCCCAGTTAAGGAGACTGAAGCATTGAGGTCAATCACCTGCCTGGGTCATACAGCCAATACAAGGCAGAGCCAGGGCTCAAACCCAGGCAGCCCGGCCCCAGAGCCCAGGTTTTACACTCTGCAAGAGCGCCTCCTCCTCCCAGATGTCTTGTGGCCTCATTGTCCCCCCTGAGAGGGTCCTCCTGGCTCTCGGCCTTCCGGCTTATTACAGAAGAGGCATTGGTTCTTCCCCGCAAGCCCCGAGAGGCTTTGTGAAAGCGAGTGCTGTGGGTGGGAAAGCAGACCGGAGTGTGTGGGGAGAGAGACTGGGGTACTACTCGGATGCCTCAACCTTTGAAGTCCAGTTAATGTTTGGAAATTCTTGGCTAGTTCTTATCCTGGGAACTGAATTCATCCTCAGCATTGGGGAATGGGAAGGGAACACAAAATGTGTGCAGCCTTGTAACTGCTGGACCCTCTGCTTAGAAAGGGGTGCCTTGTTCAAATGCTGGGCCCTGGTGGCTGTGGGAAAGGCTGGCCACCCTCTGGAGTGTGTGGGTTAACCCGCGGCTCCTTTCCAAGCCTCCTCTGCCACTTTCACGTTGCCCATTTGTCTGGCCCTCCATCTGCTGGATTTCGGAGGGGCTGTGCTCCCAGTTCTGGTAGGGATAAATATTTTCTGGGGTGAAGCTTGGAACCAGAAAGGCTTCCTCTGGATCCCAACACCATCTTGGCCACATATAAGTTCATAATCGTCCGTCAGCACTTGAAACTCAACTCAAAGTAACTTAAAGAAAAACTGTTGGCCAAGCAACTAAAAATTTTCTGGTCATTCTGGCTTCAGGCTCAGCTGCACCCAGGGCTTGTCACCAGGGCTCTGCTTCGTTCCCTCTATTTCTGACTTGGTTTTCCTCTCTGGGGGCTGTATTCTTGACTGTGCTGTCCCCTTAGGGTGGAAATACTGCAGCCATCAGCTCAGGCTTCTGTTTTCTGGTCTGAAACTCCAGTGGGAAGAGAGACTCTCCCATGGGAGTCAGAGTCGAGTCTCATTGGCTCTGACTGGGTCACATGGCCACCCCTGAGCCAATCACAGGGCAGCGCATCCACAGGCCTGGCCTGGGTCTCATTCTCACACCTGAAGCTGAGAGTAGCTTTAACTCCATCCAGTTCCCGTGAGCTGAAATGAGGGGAAGGACAGGCCCCAAGCAAGGTCAGTTTGCTAATTAACTCGCAGACGTGACAGGTGTCCACCGCAGCCTCATCTTGGGGGAGAGGGAACCCTCTGGTCCCGATTATATGATGTAATCAGCACCCTTGGTTAGGGTTTTCCATCCAGTGCTCGGTAAGAAATGGGACTGACTGCTCTTAGACCCTGATCCGTCCGCCAGCCCTACTTGCATGTAAGGGTGAGCAGAATGGCTTTTATATGCTTTGGGTTAAAACCTGGGGAAGTTGAGAAAAAGCTGATGAGCCACACAGGCCTTTCCTGGGCTGAGGGAGGGATGAGACCAGGAGACCAGTGTCTTCTTCCAAGAGTAGTTCCTTGCCTGTAACAGTCGTACAGTGCTAGCATCTCTGCTCCAGGTGAGGCGCATTTACAGCGTCGCCGGCACTGTCATTCCAAGTCACGTGTAATTCTGAGACTTCCTTCTGAAGCTGGGCTGTTCTGACTTTCTAGTTTTCCACTCCAGTCCCCTTTCTTTAAAACAAGTAATTAAGAGGTGGCTTTTGCAAATCTCATACTAGGTAGAATCCAGAGGGAGGTTACCAGAACTAGCCAACAATCTTCCCATTAGTTCTTCTACGCACATCTGTGGTGCAGGTGGTGGTGTCTGGTCCTCTCTTCCAGATTGCTCCAGAAAGGACCCCGGGGCCCTGTTCTCAAAGCCCATCTCCTCTTTAGCTTGACCTCTGGTTACTCAGCAAGACCTGGGGCTCTGAGCCTGGCAGGAGAAGCAGCTGGAATCAGGGAACCAGGGAGGGAGGGAGAAATCAGGATCTCCTGTCCACAGGGTGCAGGTGGCCAGTCCCACAGCTGTCCCGGCCTTCTAGGGGATAAGTGGACGGTCACACTAGCAGCCCAGACAGGGCGCTGGTCGCCTTTGTCCACCTCAGCCGCCGACCAGGCGCTGCATCAGTGCAGCCACGAGCTCAGGGCCTGGGGCAGGGACGGGTCTTCGCTGGGGACCCGGGCAAGGGAATGGTGGTTCTTAAGACAGCTCCACGCCTGTCTCTCTCTCCATCCTTCACTCTCCGGCAGCCATCTGGGTCTAGCTGGTCCCTTCATCCTTGCTTTTGTGGAGTATTAGTCACACAGCCTCTTGAGTGCCTCTCACGGCCGTTCTCCAGCTCAGCTCCCTGCCTTTGACCGCTTTTCCCACCGCCCGGGAAGTAAGCAGTAACTGCCATGGAGGTTCGAGAGGGCTTCACCGTCTTGGAGCACTTGAATTAGTGTATCTTCACCCTGATGGAGATTCAGAGCTGGGACAGTTAGCCCCATTTCTCAGATGAGGAACCTGGGGCTCAGAGAAATCCATTGCCTTCATTGAGCTCATGCTGCCGAGAAGGATCAGAGTCAGACTGGAAGCCCTGCCTTTTGTCTGCCGCCCGCCCCACCCCGTGCTTGCCCCAGCTGTCTCGTTCAGCCTTCCCGCCCCCTTTCGCTCACCCCACTTCCCGAGTCATCAGCTCTGGGCTGACTGCCCAGTTCCCTTATCTCTCAAATGCACCACCAGCCAGAGACACCAGAGTCTACATTTCTGGGCTGAACTGGTCCAGGGAACCAGAAACTCTTGCCACTGTCAAAGCAGCGTGCCCAGACGTTCCAAGAATAGCTTGTGATTGAGCAGCTGCTGGCCGGGGAGTCTGGGTTGGCACTGCCCGGGAGGGTCACGAGGGAGCGCCTGAGTGACTCCATCCTCGTCCCCAGTGGACACCAGGCACCAGCGCCCCCTTTGTGTGGCCTCCGGCTCTCAGTCTTGGTCGCAGGCACGCACACACAGCTGCTCGCTGCTGAGCAGGGGCGGGGGCCGCCCAGGGGGGCAGGAAGCTGGCAGTGGGCGCAGAGGCACAGCCAGGGAAGCTGCGATCAGAACAGCTGGCCTTACACACAAGAAAAGGTTGGCCTTGAAGCAGGCGGCCACCCAGGTATCCAACAGTAGTGACAATGGTGCGTCCTGTCCCTGTCCTCCTACCCACCGCCCTCCTTGCTGCAGCCCAGAAATAGCTTCCTCACAGCCGCCCATTACACTGCCTGAAATGTCACTGTCAGAACCTCATTCGGTTTGAGTCTTACAGAAAGAATTGTCGCAGGGAGGGGTGGGGGAGGGGGGAGTTTAAAGCTACATCGTATCCAGGACATAACTTTTGGCCAAAACAAGGTAGTCTTTTTGTCATGGAAGTGGCAGTCCCTCTGAAGGAGGCGGCTTCTACAGTGAGGCACCTGGGATAGGGAGAGAAGGGGGCAGGCTGTTCAGTGAGAGACAAAGAAAAACTCGGCCGGAACCCCCTAGGTGCCCCAGGGCCCCTGTGCGTCAGTCTCGCCCCTGATCAGGCCCCAAATGAGGACCAGCATTTCCTAGTGGGCAAACATCCGTCCAGGCAAAATACCCACCCCACATGTGGGACCACCCCAACCAGTGACTCTGTCTTTGGGGGCTCCCTGTTACGTATGCTGAGAGAGGAGTCCTGGTGAAGGTGGGTGCAGAACTGTGTGGTTTAGAGCCCCTCGAAAGCTACTGGTACCAACTAGCCTGGCCCCTGGGGATTGGGCCCATTTACTACAAGGTAGCCCCCTTTTTTCATTGTCCCCGTGAGAAGCCAGCCAGGTGTTTCTGCCAGGATGCCAACTTCCAGCTACTCTGTGAAGTTGCATCAAGGGTGATCCAAACAGAGAATCTTCAAACCTCATTTGAGATAATGATACTTTCCCCACCAACCTCTTAAAAAAAAAAAAATCAGAGCCGTTCAAAATAAGGTCTCAAGGCTTGGTTGGCGTTTCTTCTTCA